TATTGTTGTTTTTAAGCGTTTACTAGCAAGTGGGAACGACCAACATGGCCGCCATCTATTCAAATGGGGGTAACCGCTGGAATATTGTTGGCTTCAATTTTACTAAAAGAGATGCGCTATCTAGTGTATATAAGATATCTATGAGAATGATAGACAGAAGAATGATAGACAGCAGAATGATAGACAGAAGAATGATAGACAGAAGAATGATAGACAGAAGAATGATAGACTGAAGAATGATAGACAGAAGAATGATAGACAGAAGAATGATAGACAGAAGAATGATAGACAGAAGAATGATAGACAGAAGAATGATAGACAGAAGAATGATAGACAGAAGAATGATAGACAGAAGAATGATAGACAGAAGAATGATAGAAGAAATGATAGACAGAAGAATGATAGACTGAAGAATGATAGACAGAAGAATGATAGACTGAAGAATGATAGACAGAAGAATGATAGACTGAAGAATGATAGACTGAAGAATGATAGACTGAAGAATGATAGACAGAAGAATAATAGACTGAAGAATGATAGACTGAAGAATGATAGACTGAAGAATGATAGACTGAAGAATGATAGACTGAAGAATGATAGACAGAAGAATGATAGACTGAAGAATGATAGACTGAAGAATGATAGACAGAAGAATGATAGACTGAAGAATGATAGACTGAAGAATGATAGACAGAAGAATGATAGACTGAAGAATGATAGACAGAAGAATGATAGACTGAAGAATAATAGACAGAAGAATGATAGACTGAAGAATGATAGACTGAAGAATGATAGACAGAAGAATGATAGACTGAAGAATGATAGACTGAAGAATTATAGACAGAAGAATGATAGACAGAAGAATGATAGACTGAAGAATGATAGACTGAAGAATGATAGACTGAAGAATGATAGACTGAAGAATGATAGACAGAAGAATGATAGGCAGAAGAATGATAGACAGAAGAATGATAGACAGAAGAATGATAGACAGAAGAATGATAGACAGAAAAATGATAGACTGAAAAATGATAGACAGAAGAATGATAGACAGAAGAATCATAGACTGAAGAATGATAGACAGAAGAATGATAGACTGAAGAATGATAGACAGAAGAATGATAGACAGAAGAATGATAGACAGAAGAATGATAGACTGAAGAATGATAGACTGAAGAATGATAGACTGAAGAATGATAGACTGAAAAATTATAGACTGAAGAATGATAGACTGAAGAATGATTGACAGAAGAATGATAGACTGAAAAATGATAGAAGAATAATAGACCAGAAGAATGATAGACTGAAGACTGATAGACCGAAGAATAATAGACAGAAGAATAATAGACAGAAGAATGATAGACTGAAGAATGATAGACTGAAGAATGATAGAAGAATAATAGACCAGAAGAATGATAGACTGAAGAATGATAGAAGAATGATAGACCAGAAGAATGATAGACTAAAGAATGATAGACAGCAGAATGATAGACTGAACAATGATAGACAGAAGAATGATAGACAGAAGAATGATAGACAGAAGAATGATAGACTGAAAAATGATAGACAGAAGAATGATAGACAGAAGAATGATAGACTGAAGAATGATAGACAGAAGAATGATAGACAGAAGAATGATAGACAGAAGAATGATATACAGAAGAATGATAGACTGAAGAATAATAGACAGAAGAATGATAGACAGAAGAATGATAGCCTGAAGAATGATAGACTGAAGAATGATAGACAGAAGAATGATAGACTGAAGAATGATAGACAGAATAATAATATAGACAGAAGAATGATAGACAGA